ATACCATCATCTTAAGACCCAAGATACACATTTATGAGTCAAAATAGCCAAACCCCTCTTTATTCATTTTGAAACCCTAACACCCAAAATTACCCAACTTCAACATTACATCAAAATGACCAGTAGTTTATGTCAAAAACCATAAAAATAAATAGTTATCCCTACCTCAAATTCGGAGCTCAAAGGAGAAGATGAAGAAATTTGAAAGTGCTCCAAACCCCAATATTTTCGGATCAAAATATACCCTTCAACAAGCTCTGCATTTTTTACAAAGGCCCAAGGATAGAAGATTACTCCTACTAGATCAAACCTTAGAGAGAAGTTGGAGTTTTTAGAGTGAGGTGCTCTCCAATGGAGGTTTTGAAAAAGTATGAGAGAAAGAAAATCAAAAAGTGATCCAAAATGTCACTTTTCGGACTGATATAAAAGTCGCCCCGCTCGAGCGTGGAACTCCCTGCTTGAGCGTCAGACACAGACTCACACTCGAGCGTCAAAGCGCCGCTCGAGCGCCGGATGCACACTCCCAGAAGTTTTGCAGACCATGGTCCCCACTCGAGCGTTAGACTCCCCGCTCGAGTGGAGGAACAAAATCGAAAAGGCCCGCTCGAGCGTCAAAACTCCCGCTCGAGCGTACGATGACCTGCAGAGAAAATACTGGGAGATGAATATTCACGCTCGAGCGTCAAAACGCCCGCTCGAGCATACGATGACCTGCAGAGAAAATACTAGGAGATGAATATTCACGCTCGAGCGTCAAAACGCCCGCTCGAGCGTGAAGGCCAAAATCTGGACATCAACTTTTGGTTTCTAAACACAACCAACATGTTCCAAACCTGCCCAACACAACCCAAAACTCAAATACAAAGAGTAAAGGATGAAAATGAAAATAAGACAACAACATAACCACGAAACCAAGTCCGGAATACAATAAACGAAGGAAGGGAAAACCGAGATCGCTATACCATTAATTTATGAGAATGATTATAAATGAAAAATTTATTAAAAAATCCTCTTTCAAGTGTTTATATCCCAATTAATCTATAAAATATTCTTATTGTACGAGCACGAAATAATTCTTCTCGTATGATCCTGTTGATCAAGTTTGCGCTCCTTCAAACGTCGTCGCTTTACTTCCTGAAAACACAACTGCGAGGTAACCGGCGGGTGTGTGCCGGAAACCCCTCCGATGCCTAAGTCAGTAACTAGACAATAGACAATAAGCTCTGTGTATTCTAGAGTAAGAATTGAGATTGTGATACCTGTACATAGGTCTGGTCATGAGCTTTTATAGACTCTGCTTGGCACAATCCTAGTAGGATTCCAACTCTCCCTTTGAGAGTCCTCCTAGGAATCACACACCCTACTCACTACCAACCAAGTGAGATGATTTGCACAATCCTAGTAGGACTCTAACTCTCCTTAGCGGAGTCCTACTAGGAGTCTCATGCCCAAGGATAATGCTTACCCTTAGAACACCCTCATCACTACAAGCCAAGTGAGATGGCCACTCCTTTTACCTTGGCTGACACCTTTACCTCGGCCGACCCTTTTACCTCGGCTGACATTGCGGTTAGCCAAGTTATTTCGGCTCTGTGCTCAACTAAGTAATGGAATAGAAGCATCGACCGAGCTACTCCTAGCTCGGCTCTCCATCTTACCAAACACCTCGACCAACCCTTGGGCCTAGTATTAGGTAACTCGGTCAACGCCTTTGCCCAGTTTGGTACTCAGATAAAAAGGGACCGAGCCACTCGACGTCCACACTCCGACCTTTTAGTTCGGCCCACAACAGAAATTGAAGGATCGTGGCTCGGCCCAATTTTTCGTTATAAATTACCCTCTCACTTATATTCCAATAAATCCTATTATTTTTGACATTTGATTCACCAAATCTTAATTCTTATATTTAAGATATTTTATAAATAATTTTATATTTACAAATATTTTTTGAGCCCTTAGCAATTTAGTGTGCACTATTTTGGACTATTTTAAATGTGAACATTCACATTAAATTAATGGGTAAATTACAAATACATCCCCTAAAATTTGCTTAAAATACGAATTGTCTCCTATGGTTTGAAAAATTACAAATACCTCCCTGTCAGAATTTTTTATTTAACAGAATTAATTGAAAAAGTGAAATTTCTAACTGTTCACCTATACAATAATAAAATTATCTGAATTATTAATTGAAATAAAATTTTAACATTATTAAAAGCAGTTAATTAACTTGATGATTTATTAATAAAACGGTCCATTTGTTATGAAATTAAAAACCTTAGGGAGCATAATGTAATTTCTAGAACCACAGGGGGTAATTTGTAATTTAAGTAAATCTCAGAGGATGTGTTTGTAATTTACCCTAAATTAATTTGACAATATAATATACGGTGGTGTTACATGTACCAATTAGTGTACTAATTTGTGTACCAACACTAATTATGACATTATTATTGAACCCATTCATTATACAAATTACAAATACCAAAAATCTCTTAAATTATGCTACATCATCAATTGATACATTAGTTAGTACTCTAATTGGTGAATATAGTATTATTCTATAAATATTCACATTAACAGTATGAATGTTTACATCATGGAACATTCACATTTTCAATACGAACATTAATGCGCGCTTCACCTTATTATTATTAAAGATATTTTGATAACTATGTCATATAATAAAATAATTTAGACTAAGTAAAATATAAATAGGTGAAGAGAAATTTATGAATAAATGTCATTTAAAAATAAAAATAAAAATGAGGAAAGAATGATTTAATTTTAAATGACAACAAAGAAAGTAAATGTAAATGGTATTAATTGCAACCAAAGCAACAACTTGCCAATTAGCACCTCCCTTGAATTATTATTATTTTTCAAATTACAAAGTTGATTTTTTTTTCACTTACATGAGAAGATTTCAATTCTCTATCATCATCACCGTTGGATTTTCTTTAGATGAATTTCCAACCCCAATCTAACGGTGTCAACCCTAAGGAGTATGTTTTCCCCATGGAGATGTAATCAATTGGTATCCAAATAAGCCATTCTTAAACATAAATTACATTTACACAAAAACCTAAAATATGAATTGAGATTACACACACAAGGAAATAATGGCAATGCACTTATGTTGCATAGCCAATGACATTAATCACCAAATAATCTCCATCTGTATAAACATAATTCATATAATTTTTTTTATATAAAATTTGTTATTAGAATGACGTGACAATAAAATTTGTGTAATGAATAATATACAACTAAAATTTTTGTATAAAATTTGCATACATAGGCCTATTTTGAGAAGTGGGTTAAAAGCTACTTCACAACTTAATCAAAACATCCACCATTGTTCTTATTATTTCAAAAAGACCATTGACACATTATTATAGATGTGTTTTGGTATAAATTTTATGTTTACAAATCATTTTTTTTATAAATGTCACCTAAAAAAATACTTTGTTTTAAAATAATAAAGTTCCTTTGCAACCATTTTGTAAACAAATTCTATATACTTTTTCTATTTATATATCACTACTTATATATATATATATACACACAAAATGTGTACACCCCCGGTGAGTGTGCTATGCAAATAAACCGGTTGAAGGTAAATGGATGATCTTTTATGAATTTGATCCCCAAAAAAATGTAGATGAAAAAAAGAAGGATGCAACCATTTTGTAAACAAATTCTATATACTTTTTCTATTTATATATCACAACTTATATATATATATATACACAAAAAGTGTGTACACCCGGTGACGGTGAGTGAGCTATGCAAATAAACCGGTTGAAGGTAAATGGATGATCTTTTTATGAATTTGACCCCCAAAAAAATGTAGATGAAAAAAGAAGGAAACTAAAAAGTTATCAAAATTTAAAATTTGAAATCAAAATCAAAATCTCAAAGCATTTGAATAGAGATAATTGGGAATAGAAAAAAGTATGACAATTTACATCGTACAATTTATATAATAGAATATATATATATATACTAGAAAAAATTCAATCCAATTTTTTATTTATACAGAATATATATATATATGAAGAGAAAAAAAAAATTGAAGAAGTTCAAAAAATAAAAAAAATAAAAAAACTCATTTGGTATACTTTGAAAATGAAAAAAACTACAATAGAGCTTCACTATGTTGCAGACTAATATAAACAACTATATGAATTCCACATATACATATATATATATATATATATATATTTTTTCCCTAGAACTCATTTTTCTATAATTTTTTCCATATATTATTGTTAATATATAAAATAAAGCAAACACCTCTACATAAAATAATTCTCGAAAATGCTCTCAAACCATGATAATTGTTATGGCCCTCTTTGGGAAAGGCTATTTAGGCTAAAATAGTCAATAAAGACAAAATGTTACATCTAACCTATAATCATTTCATTTTTTTTCTCACAACCATCAAATCAACTACAAAAAAAATCAACTATCTTTCCAAACATAACTTTTTTAGCCAGTCTAAAACAACCAAAGAGCCAACTAAAGCTCCGTTTGGGATGTCCATCTAGGCTAAAATAGTCATACAAGACAAAATAGGCTATTTTAGCCAAATAGAACAAAATGTCACATCAAACCCATCATCATTTCATTTTTTCTCTCACAAAAGTCAAAAAAGACAAAAAGCTTATCCCAAACGAGGCTTTTTAGCCCCAGATTAAAATAACCAAAAAACAAACCCACATCCCAAACAAACCCTAAATAGCCAACTTCCCAAACAAATTGTTTCAATTCTCTCTAACTATTTCAAATAATTGCCATAATTATCATATCCAATTGCCAATTGCAAATTGCACACACAGTGTATGCCCCCCATCCCCTTTCTCTACTATATATATATCAACCCTTTGGGCTAAACCAAAAACATCTTAGGTACAACCATCAAGGTTGAACCAACAAAACTCTAGTCACTTTCTTTCTCTCTATTTATTTGCACAGAGGGAAGAAGAGGACTAGACATGACTATTCTTTCTACCCCATCAAACCACCTCTCTGCAACCAAAGCCGCCATCTCAAAACCAACCCACAAGAAGGCATCCAAGGACCGCCATGTGAAGGTGAATGGCCGAGATCGCCGTGTCCGCATTCCAGTCCATTGCGCTGAGCGAATCTTTCAGCTCACTAAGGTCCTTGGGCACCGCACCAGCGGTCAGACCATCGAGTGGCTCCTCCAGCAAGCTGAGCCCATTGTTAGCAAAATCCTCTACAACACCACCGTGCCGCTTTCTGATCCTTCTTCTTCAACCCCTTTGGCAGCCAAAGATGCTCCGGCTCCTTCTCCTGAGAACCATGCTTTTGAGGTTTTTGAACCAGGCTCTCTATCCATTCATGACTATAGTTTTCATATGAACTATGAAGCTGAATTTTCAGTCAATGAGTTTGTGAACATGTCATTCCCTATGTACTTCTAGTTGATATCTTTGAATGTGCAAGGGAAGAAGGAAGATCAGAAAGAATACCTTCCATAAGTCAATAAATAAATAAGTACTATGTCTTTATCTTTAAATTTAGAAGTTGTTATGAATGGAGTTTTTCTAAGGCTTCTTTAGAGTTTGTTCTTCATCACCTACAACATATGTTTTGTTTGGTGATGATAGTTTTGGGAGTTACATAGATGGAAAGGGAAGCATAGAAGAGCTCCAACTGAATAAGCATGTCCTTGAGAATGTATCAGATAATTTCTATATAAATTGTGTGTGTTTTTAGAGGGTTTTGGAGTATGAAATTCAATCCCTTTTGTCTTCTTTTATTTGTCCCCCTCTTTTTTTTCTTTTTTTTTTTTTAGTTTGCTTGTTGGCAGCTAACCATTGGCAATACATCGTGCATGGATATAGTAGTGATATAATTTATAAATCAATTAAAAGTCACATTTTACTCGTGTTCAACAAAAAAAAAAAAATTGTTCACAAATCTCTCCAATTATATGTCTAAATGAATTTTTAGTTGTCAAATCATATTTTAAAATTTTCGTGCTTTGAGATTTGCAATCACATCATACAATTTTTTTATTTTATTTTTTTTAACATTTTAAATAGTTAGATCTATTAGTAAAATTAGTGTACCACTTAAAGGGCCGCCGCTACTCCATCAATTCGAATCCCTGACATTTTCTCACTGCACTCTAAGGTGTAACTACACGCCGACTTACCACAAAGGCATTGGCTTACATCAACCCTGTTTGGTAGAGCTGTGGGAAAGTGCTTATAGCTTATGCCTAAACAGCTTATATAGCTTATAACTTTCAGCTTAAGCTGATTTCCAGCTTATTCTTAAACCATCTCCTGCCCCACTCAAAGAATAAGCTGATTTCTGACTTCCACAAAGCTATAAGCTATAAGCTATAAGCTAAACCAAACACATCAAAAAATTAAGCTGAAAGCTGAAATAAGCTGTAAATAATTTCTGCCAAACAGGCACTTTGTGCCAATACATAGTGAGATTATGGTGTTATCAGTTAAAAGTAATTAAGCTGTTATCAGATAAGTAGATATAGAAAGTATTATTAACAAATCCCCATTGGTCTTGTTCTTGTACGGTTGCAAGTTTCTTGGTAACAGTTAAAGAGAGTGATATGATAATTTATAGTGACTTTTTAACTACAAATTTAAGTTCCCAAACAAGGCATGTGGACAAAAATCTATACCACGTGCTTTGGATATTATGTGGGTGTAAAAAATTTATATCACTTGTGTTGACATAACTATCTTCTTTTGAGGTGGGAAATGGTATTTAATGATGAAAATGAATAGCCTAAAAGTTTCACATTTGCAAAATTGAGATTAGTATCTATCCGGTCGCGATGTTGTCGATCGGAGTTCATTTCAATGTTAAAGTTAACAATTATGTCGTCTAGAACACTACCACAAATTGAGAAATGTTGTGGATTGGAATTCACCTCAATGTTAAAATTAACGACTATGTTGTTTGGAACACTAACACCAATTGAGAAAGTTATGAATCCAGAATGAACAAACATAAGTATTCTTCACTTAGGATTCTTTTCCTAATTAGATTGGACTTTATCTATTCAAGTTATTTAAGAAGGCCCACTCAACATTAGGGTCATATTTTTATCGGGCTTTGACTTCTGCTATTATCTCAGCAATTCTTGTCATGCCACATGATACCTTGGTTTGAAATCATATCATATAGTTAACTTATTGAATTCGAGTTAACTTATTGAATTCGTGTGATCCTATTTAATATGTAAACACACCATATTAATAGGATATAACAATGAATAAAGTTATGTAAGATATAAACAATCTATTAAGGTTATGTCAAGCTTGAGATTTGCCTAATCTGTGTGGAAGTAACACTTTGCGTGGGTTTTGGATTAGTTAAGCCCCACATAGAGAGAGATAATGCATGTGCATAGAACAAGTATGACAGTAGTCTGTATCACAGTCACAACTATGATCTCCATGTTAATCTTTGCTCCAATCATATGACATGTATGCTTCTAAAAAACTTCATAAATTCAAAAGGCTCACAAAGGAATAAGCTTTAACTTCATACTGTAAGATAAATTGATAGAGAGAGATATAGACAGAATGAATTATGTATATTGATTTATGTATTGAATGTGTTTTTGATTGATCTATTGTATGTACATTATATAGGAGATGGAGATGTGAAGTGGAGGTGGAGTGGTGGAGTAGGTGAAGTGGAGTGTGTAGTGGAGTAGGTGAAGTGGAGGTGGAGTGGTGTAGTGGGTTAGGTTTAGTGGAGTAGGTTTAGGTGTACATTAACAGCCCCCCTCAAACTCAAGGAGGATAGGAACTAACCAACTTGAGTTTGAAGAGAGTAACAAAACAGGAAAGTAAACTGATAAATAAAATAAAACAGGATAGGAGACACGGTATGGTCGTGTCAGACCGATGTAGCAGACAGTTTATGGGGTCATGTCGGACCGTTGTAGCAGACACTGTGTGGTCGTGTCAGACCGATGTAGAAGACAGTTTACGGGGTCATGTCGGACCGTCCCATATAGATCCCACACCCATGTGAGACATTTGGTAAAACTTTTGGTAGAATTTTTAGAACCTCTAGCATTTTTGTATATATATATATATATATATGTATGTATAAGTGTTGTGTGTAAAAGCTTGTCTAATTAATTAGTTGTATTTTAGGGTGTTTAAATTTTGTATTTTTATATCCCTATATATTAATTTATTTATTTTTTAAAGGGATACTGAATCTGCGACCAAAAAAATCTCAAATAACTACAGAGGTTTACAACCCTATTTATCATAGACTAATTCTAATTCCCATAAACATGAAATAAGAAATATGAATTTTTTTATTTTTTATTTTTTAAATAATGAACTTGAATAAAGAACAGATTCAAGTTCATCTAATATGAAAAGTTTTTTAAATAATGAACTTGAATGAATTTATCGACAAGAAACTTTTCATCTACTAGGTCATGATAACGTGACACACCATGTGGCACAAAAAATAAAAGCTTCAAAATACAGTTAGAACTAAAACAAAACATTTCAAAAATATAAAAAATATCAATTTAGAAGTCTAAATGTCAGAATCTGAAGGAAAAAAAAAAAAAAAATCATGTGCACACGTCGCATCCAATCAGGCTATCAAATTTGAAGTTATTCCAAGCTCAATCCAACCTCACTAGCACGGTCACCTGACATGCTTCTCATAACAAAAATTTTATCCCGGCCTCTCTTTCCCAATCTCCTCATCGATTTCTAATGTTCTAGTTGTTCGAGAAACTACTCAACTACTCATCCTACATCTGGAGGCCTACTATTGGAAAAAAGATGTGTTATAGTTGCATAAAGAGTAACGTTGTACCATCTAAGTCCAAAGGCACATCTAAGCTACACTAGCCAAAAAGATAAGTGCCTTGTGGAATATGATAAGGCCTATGACCTGCATAAACATAGATTAAAGGAAGAAAAATATCATACAACCTATGTGCAACAACAACAATTTCAACAAAAATGAAGAAATAGCTTAAACATGATCAGATGGTATTCAAATTTGGTACTCAAAATTCCTTCACTTGCAGCATTATCGATATCGCATTCACATGACTAAGGTGTGGTTTGGGAAGCCACTAATAAACAGCTTATTTTCTTATTTGTTACAAGTGGTCACATTACCTCTCTACTTTTCTGCACATCTTTTTGTAAAAAAAGCTAAAAATCACTAAATAAACAAACCCCAAACGACCATTTAATCATTGTGTACAAGGCTTGACCTACATTGAACAAGTATCCAAACAAATTGAGTGTACAAGCATAGTGGTATACCTAAATTTTCCTCCAAAACACATTTTTTTCTCTTAACCATTATTTTGGAGGCCTATATCTAACAAGTATTTGTCCCTACCGTAAAACCATTCAAAAATATGTCCTAAATTCCAAATACTCTTCTAAAAAACTTCAACACCTTTAAGCAAAAGGGTTGTTCTATTCACGCAATACCATCAAGGTAATCTATCTCTACGTATAACCTTCTTTGCAACAGACGACAAACAATTTTACAAATTCAACGTCCAACACGGCCTCAATGAAATTCGGCAATCAGTACCCAACAATTTGAACAATGCATTCCCATCAATCCGCTTATTACTAAAATGCTGCACATAAAGATAGTATTTACTTCTCACAACCACTCTGCCACTTGAATTCAACTAAAGATGCCTAAAATCTCGTCAGCAAGGCAAGGTAGTAAATGTTCCTGGTGAAATTAATTGCAGCCAAATAAGAACTTACTTGTCACAACTCATTCAAAATTATTTCCTCAGGTTCATGTACAGAAGATTACACAGTTAATGCAGACTCTGTTTCTCAACCATCATCATTACTAGTTTTCATTATATGAATATTGTGTAGATAAATCCCACGGTGTCGCCATAAGAAAGGTGCTAAGCGTTACCGTAATAAGCATTTAAAGCATTTGAACCAAAAAACCAGAGAGATATACAGATTGCACCCAATAAAAAGTCAGTAGAGCTGCAGAGGTATCAAGCATTCAATTACCAAAGATTGTGAGCGCGCGTGTGTGTATATATATGTATATGCATGTATGAAACTATGAGTAGCAACCCACTAATTCTCGTGTCTTTAGAAATGACTCTCCCTAGCTCCTCAAAAAACCAACCAAAACCCAAATCCCTGAAAGCCAGCCATTGCCCTCACAAGCCATTGAAAGATCCTCATGTGATGGTGAATGGCCGACATCGCCGGGTCCGCCTATCAGATAAATGTGATGAACGCATCAATCAGCTCACTAGTAGGCTTGGCCATCGCACCAAGGGCCAGACTATAGAGTGGCCTCTGTACCAGGTTCGACACTCCATCAATGCCATCTTTGGCATTGACACTGATTTGAAAACTTCTCCGACTCCTAATGAGGCCGAAGCCATGCCCGTGCTTCCTGAGATCACTGCAGTTTCAGGGTCTGGACCGGGACTGGCACCGACATCGACATCGACACCCCCATGCTACAGTAATGAACTGGTTACTTACAGCGAGTTAGACCTTGCATTTGAAGAGATCGAAAAATATTTTGGACCCTTTTAAGGAAGAAGGAAGAGAGAATTCTGTAAGAGCAAAATGGAAAATAAATGCATGTTGAAGATCAATTAATCTGTCTATGTTTTTCTATCTTTCTTAGTTTCATGGATCTAAAGTTGGAGTTTAGGGCCTCTTGAAATAGTTCATCACCTGGATCTTGTTTTGGTTTATGAAAGTCTAGCAAATTTAACATTTTACAATGACAATAACAAAAAATAATAATAAGGGAAACGAGATGTGCGACTAGGACCTAGGAAGTACTTATAAATAGCTTGCCATAATGTTTTGTAATTATTACGGCTTATTTTCTATCAATTAATTAAAAATAAAGCTATAAAAAAGTATGGTTCACCATCATCACACACTTCAACTTATAAAGATTAAGAATTTGTGAACACATACGAAGAGACCTGCTAACTAAACAATTAGTGACCCTCATGAGAAACATTTATATAATTAGCTTTTTTCTCTTCTATTTCTATCTCTCAACTATCTATTTTCGTTAGTTATTAACTAGAGCAATTACGAAGAAGAAGAAAAAAAAGTGAATGGGACAAGGGGTAACAGACATTAAAATTCCATGTAATACCAATAAAAGATATTAAAATTCCTTGCAAATCAGATTCAATTATATTAACGTGTAAAATTCCTTGCGAATCAGATTCAATTATATTAACATGTGAAATTCCTCATGAATCAGATTCATGATATTAAAATTGACTTTGAGAAATATTTTCAACATTACCATGTAGTCTCTACTTTTCTATATCATTCAAAGGCAAAACTTGTTAATAGACAATCCTTCCTCAGTATAATACCAATAAAAGATTTGTAAACAGTACTCGGAATTAATATAGTTTAAAGAGGACATCACTAAATCTCTTGCCCAATTATTTTGAATGAGTCCAATCTTGATTTTGTGTGATTAGAAAGAGAAGTACGGCCAAAGGTCCATCGGTTCACCATTTCTATGAAACATTTTACTTATGATACTATGATCTTCAAGTTCACATAAATTTAACCCCTACTCCACATAAAAAAATAATTTCTTCATTTTAAGGCTTGTGTACCCAAGTATTTGAATGGAGTCTTTTCCTATTTTACATTTTATATTTCAATGTACAATTTCATCATCTTGAATGAAGATGTTTCTGAAATACTAGCCCTTGTGATGTCTAAAATTTAAAATTGACATTTCAAGGATTCCTAAAAATGACCGTATAAGAAGGAATATGTCGAAGTCACCTAATTTTCTAAATGACTGCGTTCCAAATGATGGGTTGCTAAGTAAATTATGGATAGACCATCCAAATTCAAGATAATTCCAAATAAGCCTTGAGTAATTTATGAATGTGTCCATTACCCGAGGGGCATGCCCTAACCTTTAAAATAGAAACAGATCATATTGGTGCATATGATGCTGCTTCCAAACAAAACTAAAACTATTCATGCACATGCATCAATAAAAACTTGCATGTGCAAGCTAGGAATATTAGTGCATATCAGTAGAATATTTTTAAAAAGTAACAAGCTTAAAAGAATGCAGATAAGAGTTGCATCAAGGACAGACACTAATACACGAGGCCAAAGCAAGGAAGCCAGGTAAAAATTGTGCCTCTACTATAGCATCTGTCCTTGTAATCTGCTCCAGAAGAAATCACAAGCAAAATAAAGTAATAAGATAGTAGAAAGTTTTTAAAAAGCAACATGAGATAGGCAGAAGCTAGTGATAAACATTACTGTTCTGTAAATTATATTCATCTGGTGATTCCACATGTTTATCTCGAAAGGCCCATCATCTTTTCTTCTTAATCTCGAAATGCAGGCACATCTGGAGTACAAGCACAACATATAAAGAGCACAATTATATTCCAAATCACTGAAAAATATAATTTCAGGAGTGCTAGTGCAGTTACATAATATGGTTTGACATAAATCTGAAGAGGCCATGTATATTGAGCATTCAACCAATAAATAAGCCCAAAACACAAGCCTTGAATACTAACTCTTTCAGGTCAGCTACTTGCTTTCCTTTTTTTCTCCCATCATTCACCTCTACTTAAGTCCATGGTGATAAAAGTGTGAATCCAATGGTGTTTTTCTAATTTTACGAAGACAATTTAATTCAAGTAGTAAAGAAAATGGCACAATAAATCACTCTATGAAGGGAGAAGTCTTGAACATGCTCTGTTTTGACACAGCACTCTTTGCAGCCAAAATGCACAGTTTTAGCATATCTCACGGAATAAATCAGAAGATAAATTCTGATTCAGAAGTTCAGTGGTAATTCAAATTTCACTATTCTTAGATTGTTGTTCAATCTACTTCTAAGATATTTCTACCCCCATACTACTCATGGATTTTTTTGTTCTATCATAAATAAAATGTCTTGTGAGAACAAAAGACATTTAAATCTGGATACTTCACTAGTAGGTATGAAATCACTATGTTTTCACCAGTGTTCTCAAATTTTGTAACAGTTGGACATATACCATTTATTACTTCTCTATAGAGAAGGCATTTAGGAGTCATCTTGTTCCTTAACTCTATCCTAGGAACATTGCTCCTCACCCCCACCCGCACTCCACACAAACCAATAAATAAATAAATAAAAACAAAAGAAAGAAAGAAAGAAAGAAAGAAAAACAGAGAATTCAACATGTGGATACATCTGTCTTGAAGCCTAAGGACCTACGTTAAACGGACTCGGGTGCGAGTATCAGTGCAAGTGAGGGTGTAGGTGCGGGTGCGGGTGCATATCTAAGGTTCAGACACCTCAAAACTAAAAATGAAGGATATGTGGATACGGATCCAAATTTAGATACGGATACGGGGGTACATCAAATAATTATTTCTTAAATATATATTTTATATAAACATGAGTTAAAAAGTTGACCCAATAATTTTTTTATATATAATTTATGGACCAAACATATAATTAGCTACATACCAGCCCATGGTATTAAAAGATTTGTTGGCCAAAATTTTATTTTATTTATCTGGTTTAGCCCAAATTTTTTTTTTTTTAAATATTTTTATAAAAAGAATAAAACAGAGGGATGAAATATAATAAATAAAGAATAAGAGAGAGAGAGAGGAGGGCAAATCAAAAAGCAGATCATGGAATGGAATAGAAAGAGAGCGAGAGCGAGAGAGAGAGAGAGAGGGGGGGGGCTTACAGTCGTGCTCGTCGAAGACAAAAACAGTAAAAGTCAAAGGGCGCTAGACAAAGTTGAAGTCCATGAAGACAAAGTCCAAGGACGCGACCAAAGAGATCGAAGTCGGCGACAGAGAGATCGATGTCTTGCCCTTTCAAAGTCGGTGACCAGGTTCTCTCCTTGCTCTCTTCTCTTTCATTTCTTCTCCCGCATCCATTTGTAAAGAGCCGTATCCCACACCCGTACCCGTGTCGTGTCGTGTCCACACAGGTACCTCCCAAAAAACGAAGAGTTCGTGTAACGTAGCTAAGGACTTCTTACTAAATCTAGCAGAGGTTGCAGAGGTTTATATAAGGTTTTCCAGAACCCTTTAATATTCTCATTTCTTCTCCAATACCATTATTAATCTCTTCTTCATCTTGTTTTCCATATTCCTTCTTTTTCAGCTTTTCTTCATACTTCATTACAACTTGCAAATATATTATCATAAAAAATCTACAATACTAGAGTTTGTTCTAAACTTCAGTAGACCCAAGTTTAAGCCCAGACTTACCAATTTAGTAATTTGAAAACCAACATGTCGCAGAAAGGTAAATTACAGAATCAATTTTTTTTGTTCCATCTTATTTAAGAATAAGCATATGGATGGAATAATATTAGAATAGGAAAGATTTGGATGCTTACCTCCTTCTGGATATATTGAGTTATAGTGCACCTCAGCCCAAAAACTCAAGAAAATAACTGCAGAAAAAAATATACACATTTACATATGTATAAAGCATCCCTTGTTTAATTAATGCAAAATGAGGGGGGAGGGGGGAGAATCAAACAAAAAAGAAACAAGCCATTTTTTTAAGGGAGAATTCCAAAAAAGTGGTGTAGACAAAAATAATTTCAAAATAATGAAAGTACCAGTGATTCATGCATAAATTTATGCAATAAAAACTTGTATTGTCATCATTTTGAAATTATTTTTTCTACCATCCACTTTTTTGAAATTCCCCCCTTTTTTTAAATACATCTGAGATTCATTGAAGCAACAACAACTTGTAAAACATATTAACTAAGAGCATAATAAGATAATATCCCTGAAACTAAATTAACTTGTCCTAAATAGTAAACAACCCGAAAAATAAGCAACCTCAAATAGGTAAACTAAAAAGGCCCCCCAAAAAAGTAGATAGGAGTATAATATGAAAATAGAAGAGTAAAACAATCCTTTTCCTAACTAGACCATGCAAGCATATTGGCGGGAACCATCCTGCCATAGTTGATTATTAGCTTCTGCCAGTTCTGGCGAAGGAGTAATTGGAGATCTATGAAGCATGAGTACTCCGAAAAGAATGTTGTACCCATACCGGGTACTTACTTCGCATGGTACTTCGCATGGTACTTTTGCATACGAAACATGTACCCAAAATTTTTCTTCTTAATTTTTGACGTACTCAAACGTACCTAGTGTATTATACCTCAAGTCGAAACAATATTTTCTTTTACAAAGATAAAATTCCTTTCACTAAACTTCTTTTTTATTTTTAGTTTTATACTTAGTATGATTTTAAAATTAAGCTATGGTTTGTAAGTTATTTAATATAATAACCTTTAATTTTAGTTTATACCTTTACTTTTAGCATTAAATGTTAATTGTAGGTTGAATTTTATCAAATTAAACCATTTATTCAATTTTTGCAATATTTCAAATTAAAAATAAATATTTTTTTACAAACGTACAAAGCCGTATCCATACCCTACTTTTTCTTGAATTTTACCATATCAATGTACCTATATCATACCCGTACCCGTGCTTCATAAATGAAGTTTAACAAGTATCATACTATATGTTCACCCTTTCATTACTTTCTACAAAAAAAAATTCCATCATCTTAATCAGTTTAAAGAGAAAATGGCTATTAAAAAAACACGTCTCTCTTCTTTCTTTCTTTTTTTACCATGAGGAACCCCTACTAGGCAGCCACTTTGGAAACGCACCCCTAATTATTCCCTATATCTATCCATGGAGTATCTATGGATTCCTTTGTAGATAGTTCAACAGCCCTGTCGGCTTTGTTTTGTGCTAAGCATCTCTCTTCTATAATTGCAAAAGGTTGAACTCGCTTTGGCATGCATTATTGAAAATTCACAATACAAAAAATAAGACTGCCATATATTCTTCATTTACTGATTCTCCCATGACAAACATTCTAAATGGGGGAGTAGGAGAGAAGTGGATGTTCCCCAACCAAACCCAATCTAAGAATCCATAGCCATTGCAATATCACCACTCATATGATCAACTTTTTCTCTAAACTTCTACTTATTTGTTTGAATACTTGCAGACCAAAAAAAGAACAGCCATGCTCATATGATCAACTTTCTTTCGTATTTTTTATGATCCCACCGACATCACAAATAAATGTAGCATGATGGAGACATATTATAACCAAATGTCTCAATAGAAGGAACAACAATAGGATCAGCTAACAAAATTGCAGTACAAGTATAAACAATGACTAAACCAAGCCAAAGATATCAGACCACTGTTGAATTTTCAAAAGGGAACACAATAAAACATTAAGAAAGGGAACACATAAAATAGTACCTCGTTTTGATCTTTGAACATTTGGGATAATCTCAATGTAGCAGGTGTCCTTGAATGATGTTATGACAAATATCTTCATGCCGTACTGCAATAAATAATTAAAATACATAAGAATGCATGATATGTTCCCCACACAACAATTAACGATGGTTTTAAATAACAATATTGAAATATATATCAGTATTGGCAATATGTTCATATATTGGAAGTCCAAAATCCCGATATATAATGGGCAATACAATACATAAAAACCAATATTTAAAACCCTACTGTTAACTGTAACCACAAAGTTGTCAACAAATCCAATAATTGAAATAATAATGCTAATAAAATCAAGTTTAGTCCCCATCAGTACCCAATGATAATGAATTTGCATAGATTTAATACACAAATGAGTAGTAGCATGTTAATGTAAAGGAAAAATACAGCTTTTCAAAAATTTATTTGGAAGACTAGTCGTGACACACAAGAAAAAAAATGAAGCTTGTGGGATGTACACTTTGACCATAATAGAATGTGACATAATATTAGCATTTGTCAGGATCCCATAATTTCCAAAAATAGGATTTCAAGGGACCGAGTCTTGTTACAATGGGCTCTATTACCATGCCAAAACTTCATCCTTGCATGCAACTTAGACAAGAAGTGTTTTTTCTGTCTGTGATTGTCTACAAAATCCTCACTCCCCATCCACAAAACCTTAAGGGAAACTGTTATTGTTTAATTTGTTTTCAAATTATGCACACTTCCAAGATGCATGAGGCAGAAAAAAAACCCCCAAAATTCACCTGACATGTGATGTAAAATGCCGAAACCAATAAACATGGCAATGAAAATAAAAAACCTCCCAAGTTTGGGACCTTACCACAGTGGTAGTACACAAAAATACCAGCAAGCCTATATTAATAATGAAAAGAAAAGAAAAGATGAAGTTGCAGAACCATACAGAATCTGCAGCAGCCTGCAAAGTGACATGATCACCCCATTCACCATTCCTAATTTCCATCATATGACAACAGAAGAATGTTAAATTTAGACCCACAAAAACTAAATGACCTAAATCAATGACAAAGGAGTAGAAAAGTACTTGGACATCTTCTTCAAATAGTCACCATAAGCCATGGGAACATATCCCTCATATATCTCTGGGCAAGACTCAAGCTGATAAAACAATATATTGCAACATAAGAAACAGCACAAATACACAACAATTACATTCATACAATTCTAAAACATAGCTGGCAAACTGATATGCTAGTACTGCTATAATGACAGGTTACCAACCTGATTTACAATTTGTTGTCTCACAAACTTGTGGTGCTCAGGAGAGCGATAAAACTGATCTGATAGAGCACGAAACTGGGGAAAATATGGCACTAATGAGAAATGAAACAAGTTATTAACGTTAAACACCATATTGAATAATATTCAGGCATTTTTTCCACTGGGAAAAATAAAAACAAATCAAATCAATTGAAGTAAACTATGAATAAGACCATGTAACTACAACCACGTTGTCTATTAAAATATTAAATACAGAAGTAATTAGATTACATTATCAGCTTCATTATTATCAAGTCTAATGTGAGTACCAAACCGAATACCAAATGAAGAGGCCACAAACAAAAATTATCAAAAGAAACATAAAAAAGAAGATATCAAAGCAAGAGTGTTAAAAATATGGAAAGAAGATATCAAAAAAAGTGCATAATCTTCTTCCATCCCAAGAAATGTTTCATCAAAAAATGAGTTACATAGAAGATAAGAAAATGACAAAGGAAAGCGAAAAAATAATTGGCAAATATAGTACTAAAGTACGCCATCTCATATAAAGAAAGAAAAAAAGCTAGAGGGGGAAACGAAGCAAAACCACATCATCCCACCAAAAAAAATGATTAGTGCGACTCAAGAAATCGACTTTTGCAGTATCCGTTCATCAAGAGACAAAGGCAACTCTAATCACATGGCATACAAAAGACATCACAAATATATGGAACTTGAGGCACGAAAGAGCATGAGGTGCAGTGTAATAAGAAACTAACCTGACAATTTCCATCTCCATGAACCTTAAACTCCACCAAATCATATAACTGCAATCTGAAGAAAAACAGACATCTCCAGCATCAAAAACTATATACATGAAATAAAAATCCCACAGCCACAAAAAATAATAATAATAAAAATTAAAAAAAAAAGGAAGGCAAAAGAGACAAAGATGCATATATCTTTTCTTCTCTAGATGAGGGGAAGGGGAGCTTCTGTCCTGTCCTAAAACAATAGCTGAATACCTGTCCAATAATCTTTGATGGTCTAAAGTTGCTTCATCAACGGAAGGTATTTCTCCATTAGTTCTAGGGACATGCTGCACAAATACAGCAACAGAATAGTGAGTTTATTTATAGCAAGCCATCAATAAACCATAGCAGATAGAAGCACATATGACAAATATGTGGAGAATGTCTAAAACAGCCTGATAGCATTAGGTTCATATATCTTTGCTATCTAGTGATTTTCAAGTGTAAGTTGTGGGGAGAGGAGATAAGTTAGAGACAGCAAATGTTCTCCTAATACTATATATTGAAACAAGAACAAACATTCGCATTTTTAATGCAGATTCTGGATTCAAAACCATTACGTGATCATCTATAATATCTAATGGTACAGTTTAGCACAAATTAACAAGCATGTGCCTGAGTTTAACTTAAGAATAAAACAAGAACACCTTTCCTTCTATGAAATAAAAAGTTTGGATACTCCCAAACTGCAACCTCCTATGAAACCAGCAACACAAAAACAAACATCAACAGACAAACGTCACATTTGTTTTACTAAAAGTATATGAAAAATTAAACATAATTGTGACCACTGCATTATTAACTCTTAACACCTCCAAAAAGAGAATACAGTGTGCATATGATGATAAAGCTTAGGAAACTATGACATGTGTCTACCCTCTGTGGTACGTAGCAAAACTAAACCAAACTAAACCTGGTGTCCCACTCAAGTGAAGTTGCTTACATGAATCTTTTTTTGCTATCCTACTCTGTCAAAGGCAATATGTTTAATTAAATTAAATAAATTTACATTTGTAACTGCTGCATCTCATGTCAATTTGTCACATCATCTTATTTAAATCACATCACCTCTCTAACACATCACATCAAACCCAACCCAAACCCAACCCAAACCCACCAATAAGTCAAAAAGTACACTTTTTTAGGACATCCCAAACCAACCCTAAACCTGGTGTCCCACTCAAGTGAAGTTGCCTACATGAATCTTTTTTTGCTATCCTACTCTGTCAAAGGCAATATGCTTAATTAAATTAAATAAATTTACATTTGTAACTGCTGCATCTCATGTCAATTTAGGTCTTCTCCTCCATCTAACACTTTCATTTGTGATGATTATATCACTCTCCCTTACCGTTGCATCTATAGGTCTTCATTAAACATGACCAAACCATCTTACCCCTTCCCTCAACTTATCTTCAATTTGTGCTACTCTACCCATTTCATAAAAATATTCATTATTAATTCTCTCTTTCCTAATCTTACCACGCATCTAACTACACTCATTTTACGAATATGTTGAGGTGCTAACTTTCAGTATCAACAAAAGCACAAGCATATGGAAAATAAGGGAGACCTTCAAAAGGTCATCAAACCAAAACAATATGATTATTGAAAATTAATACACGCATCAAACATTCCATAACAATGGCACTGCACATATGCCACACTTACAGGAATGGGAACCATCTCATTCAACCTTTTGCCCACTTCACCATCAAAAGCATGCTCATCCATGAGCTCTAGTGAATATGACCATTCTTCCCCACAGTTTGACTTTCCACCGGGGCTAGAACATGAACTAGAAGGTCCTGTATCATCTGTCTCTTCATGACCATTATGATGTCCTACAAGCAATGGTATAAATAAGCAGAATTCATTAAAGAAAAAAAAAAAAAATCAAATACCAAATCAATCAAGTAATAAAACTCGCATTCTTAAAAACATCAATACCATAACTATAGTTTTCCATCGATTGGCCAAGCCAATCATGCGAGTAAAATGGTGCTTGCAAATATTCTGTGACCCCTTCATCAGAGGAACCAGGTTGTTCTGCAACAGAAAGTTGTGATAGTTCTTGAAAAGCATGTGTGATGAACTCATCATTCTCGACATTGCCACATCCCACATCATAATGGTCTTCTTTGAAATATTGATCATGATAATACTCTGCATTGTTTTGTGTTATATTGCCATAATACCCACAATTTGGAAAAGGATCACTGTCAAAAAGCTGGAGACCCCACCAGACAACATCAGGATCTTGCTCATGTGTAATCATTAGCAATGTCTATGAGCTTCCAAGTCAAATTCAGTGTTTGCTCCACACAATACTAGTCAACATACCTTGACAATAATGATCAAAATATTCTCAGTTATTAGAAAAATCACATAACTTGTTCTGGTTAAAGAGCGGCATCACATACAGCTTTCTTCCAAAACAAACATCAAACTGCACCATAATACTTCAAGCAATCTGGAGATTTCATTTAATGTGTATCACGAGTGCAGAAAGGATAGCCAGCATATAAAAAATCCACAGAAAAATTACTTCCTTTGGGGTTTTCACAAAACGAGACACAATTCAACTCCTGCACAAAGTCAATTCATGCTTTCCACATTTAGAAAGTCATAAATCAACAATTAACCAAATGTGGACAATTTTGGGAGAAATTTAAACAGACAAGCAAGTTAAAGAATAGTCAGACTAATTTCATAATTTGCAAATGGAGAAGGATATCCGAACAAAAACAATAAGGTTATAAAGAAAAAGACAACCTGAAAATAACACGGGTTCAACCCTGATTTTCATTTTTAATTGTTGACATGAAATTTCAGTGATATTACGCAAATAAAACATTTATAATTTAATTATGCATCATGGAAACTTACAGATATGCATGAATACATAACCCCAAAAGAATAAATAAAAACCAGACTGTTGGAAACTGCCAAATAATGGATCTCTCTCTCTCTCTCTCTCTCTCTCGTGCATGTGCACACAAGTACACATTCAAGTTGGACAACAATAGCAATCATGCCCAAGTTTTCCCGCACCTCACAATTTATGAAGGGTGTCACCAGACTCACCACTCATCTTGTCAAAATCTACCACCAATACAATACAACCAGTGAAATGACTTAATTACAATTTCATTGAAACAGTAATGTTTGAAATGTTGCTTTTGTTTCACATGAATCATATTGTATTAACTGTCATGGTTCCATTATCAAACCAATTTAGAAAAATATCTTTGTTTTCAATTGCAGTAGAACACAAAATGCAATAATTTGGTTTCCAGAAATTGATGCATATCTCATGTTATATGTCCACCAAAATGATCAAATGTAAAAAGATTATGATTTAAGAATTTGCCAACATATCTCAGTTAAGCCTCTTAGAATTCAATTCTTAATATTGACCCCAAAAAGCAAACTTGGAGGTTGCGTCAAATACCAACTCTGTCCCCAGCCATTGCATTAATGGCACTTTCAGAGTACCAAATTCGTTAGTTGCCCTTCGGAAACTAATGGCTTCAGATTGGAATTTTTTTCTACTTGAAAGAGAAGATGAAATTATCAAGGTATCTTTTGACACTTCTAGATAAATTCAAATCCTAGGACGCGGTCTAAAATATGGATTCAGGACTAAGGTTAGGGCCCGCTCTAGCAAGCATACCAGATTTGCTTGTCAGATATAATAGGCCCGGGCAACCTAAGTCTAAGTTGAAGCATGGTTATTACAGCCTAGAGGTCGACTAGACTATACAAGTCTTGACAAATTTTAAGATTTTCTTCGGTAGGAAACTATAAATAGAAACATTGAGAGCTTATCAAATAAGTATGCGCCAATTCAATATACCTCTCTGACTCTAACAATCATATGTATATTTTAAAAGTGCTCAAGAAAAAAGGAACCTCAAAATTTGTAATTACTAGTAGACTATTCCAGTATTGGGTGATCAATTCACTCATGCAATCAATCATAAAATTGAGCTATACGACTATATTCACCCTTTAGAAGTGTAAATTAATTGCATCTCCCCCATTTCGAGGATTCTCGATATATCCTTCCAATCAACACATTCATTTCTAAAGTGCCAGGAGGTTTTATTACTGCTACATTTCTTCAATTCAAGATTGACTAATTATTAGCTTTCATGTTGAATTTTAATTCTCCCATCTTCCAATCAAATTACGATTCATACTGTTTTATCACATTTCTCTCTCCACATTTGATCCTAAATAATTGAGGGAATCACACATCTTTTTATTTCAAAATGTTAGGGTCTGATTGATATCCTTTTCGTTTTAATTTCAAGAAAACACACACACACAATATTAAGGGTGTTTGGCAATAGGCTTTTTTGGCTTTTTGAACCAAAATAGCACTAAAAGACAAAATAGGCTAAAATAGCCAATAAGACAAAATGTCACATCAAATCCATAATCATTTAACTTTTTCTCTCACAAACATCACATCCAACTACAAAAAAAATCCAATCCTCTTCCCAAACACAACTATTTTAGCCTACTAAAATAGCTAAAAACTAAAATAGCCTACTAAAATAGCCAACTTCCCAAACACCACCAATAAAAAATAAAAAAATTACTTTGTTTAGCATATTGATTCTAAAAACTTATTTGGGAAAATTTTCTATAAACAAACCAGTTTTTAAGAAGCATCGAAAAATTTTCAAATTTTCAAAACTTTTTTCTCACAAAAATGAAAATGATGTGTTTTCCAACTTCTCATTGATTTGGTTTGTGAAAACACAAAAAACGTAAACATCAAACAAAAAGGAAGAAAACAAAAACGATACCAAACAAGCTTCCCATATCCAATTTGATGTCCTTAGGTGGCTCCATTCTGCCAATGGGTAATATTTATCAAATAAAAGAAAGAGCCAAGTAAATGTAACTAGATAATTTATTTTAGTATGATATGGTATTAAAAATTGCTAGATGCATACATGGACCCAAAATTATCTATAAATCTCAATTTTGCTAACCTACTTCCTTAGAATTATATTATAACTCTCTCTCCCTCTCGCCACACGCACGAAAAATAGCAATAGTCAAACCTGAACTTTACCTTCATTTCAAATGCAACGCCTACTTTGCAATATAGTGCTACAGTTGTTTTAGCTACAATATTAACTCCAACAACAATATGTTGGAGTTATTTGTGATTGTGAACCAAAATAATACACTAGGTTTTACTACAATCCATGTTTTATGCAGACCAGTCTAATTGATAGCACAATAAAAACATTCAATGTGTAATTCATAGCAAAGTAGCACTCAACTTTTCTATAACATGTATATATTTCTTTATTAGCTAATTAGCTAATACAAAGACTTATGTTTACCTCTTTTATTGCACGTAAGATAAGCAACATTAATGCTTTTATGAAGAGTAATTACCATGATTCCCCTAAACTATTACCTGTTTGTTACTTTTGGTCCTTGAAGTTTAGATTATCTAAATTTGGTTCCCTAAATTATTTGATTTTCCAAATGTAGTCCAATTGATAACAAACATCCAATTAGCTTACTAAAAACGTCATTTCAATTCTTAATATTGACCCCAAAAAGCAAACTTGGAGGTTGCGTCAAATACCAACTCTGTCCCCAGCCATTGCATTAATGGCACTTTCAGAGTACCAAATTCGTTAGTTGCCCTTCGGAAACTAATGGCTTCAGATTGGAATTTTTTTCTACTTGAAAGAGAAGATGAAATTATCAGATTTGGGGTTCGTTTGGTTTGAATTTCCCAAAAATTTTTGGGAAAATTTCTCTACAAATGAGTTTTCAGAAAAACTCAAACCAAACAAATTTTCTCAATTTTTTTTTCCAAAACTTGTTTGGTTTACAAGTTTTCCAAACAAATCTCTCTCTCATACACATCAAATCAATCACTTTTTCCAAAACTCTCTCTCAAAATAATTTTTCAAAACATCTTTTGTAAAAAAACCAAACCAAACAAATTTTCGTACTTTTTATCTCAAAACATGTTTCTCAAATACAAACCAACCAAGCCCTTAGTTTTGATATACTAATCTGATCTGTTTCACTAATGTTGTGTTTGGTTGGGAGATTTGGGGAGGGATTTGGAAAGAGAAATGGAAAAGGTAGGTGAAATGTGAATAAATCATGCTTATATTTCACATAGTTTCGCACACCTTTTCCCTTTCCCTTTCCAAATCCCTCCCCAAATTTCCCAACCAAACACAGCATAAGTCTAGGACTGTGGAACCCGTGTGAACGAATCTGGGACGAATGAATGAACTTGAAGCATGAAACCAGAATATTGTACAATGAGGTTCTTCATCACAACAAGATGAACATAAGATAATGTCTTGTACTCTCTCCACACATGTATGGTCTCTTCGTATAAGATTGAGAAGCTTGTTGTGTGAGAGTAGGGAAATGACCATTTATATAGTGATTATCCTTGAGAGTCTTTCCCATTGTAGATCCAAACACATCCAAGATCCAAATTCCTTCCCCTTTGTTTTTTCCTCTACAAATCCAAGATCCAAACACATTATAAGCCGTTACCACAATTCTCCATCATTATCTTAAACTCCAGCTATAGTGTAACTATACACCATAATTCCGGGTAAAGCCAATCGCTAATCACAAGCCTTTATGTGACCGAGCAACAACCAATCCGATTTTCAACAAATCAAAAAAAACAATTGGCCTAGTGGCCCACAACACTGGAAATTTCTAACATGATCTGCTTATGTCTTGTGCTTCCTAGAGAGTAGAACTCCTTGTGCTTCCTAACCATTCATGCCATTGCCAATTCAATTTACCAAAACTTTGCTTCCTTGCATTCTAAGCTCTACAAAGCAATATTTTCATTTCTTAAACTACATTTTGCTTTATTGAAATATGTCCCCAAACAAACAAATTACCCAGAAATATCAATATGTGGGTAGCACAAATCTAGACAAATTTTCTGGGTAATTAGGATTACTCTTCTTCTTCTTTTTTTCTTGATAAATAATTTTTTTTAAAACCCAATAAAAAAAATTAGGGGAAATTACCTGTAAGTTATATTATCAAAAGATTATTACAGAATGATGAAAAAGTTTATAAATTTAATTATTAATGTGTATAAAATTATCTGTAATTTTTTTAAAGGTTTACCCTGAATTGATTCCCCAAAAAAATATACAGGGTGCATTCTGAATCTGATCTTTCACTAGTAAACAATGGCTCTAATTCTTCTAATAAACCCTACAGCTATACATTTATACATGCAATATTTAGCGAAGAAAGAAAGAAAGATGATGAATCTAAAGCAGCAATTAAACGATTCGATCCCAAAATGCCTCATACAGCAGAAAGAGAAGAGATCGAAAATTGGACATTGCATAACTCACCTTATCGAATCAACCTTTTTTTTCTCCGATCGAAACAAAACACATTCCTTCAAATCCGGTGACAAACTATATAACATAAGTTTTGGTATCAGATTAAAAATAAATAAAACTGTAGATTACATTACATGAATGTATATAAAAGGAAAGCGCTTTCGAGGCACCGCCTGTGAATATTTTTTTTCCAACATCGCATGTGAAGATGATGTGAACAGAGAGAGAGAGAGGGTCTCGTACTGTACTGAGTTTTTTATTTTTTGTACTGGGCTTCACGGACATTTGAAGGCGTTAATCAGCCAGTTACTTTTTTACGGAAGTTGAAACTGTTGAGCGTGTCAGATGTTAACGGACGGTGAATGTCGCCGTTTACTTGTGCGGCTTTCTTCACGACTGATTATGATTCTGTCGGATTTGGCATCCCCTCCAGTGCGTTGGATACGGTTGTCTGCAATAAACATTCTTTTGAGTGGTATTCATCTTTGCCAATTAGGCTTTGTTTCGCAGGTTGCTTTTTTTTTAAGTTTAAAAATTAAAAAATTATTAAAAAAATTTATTTTTACTTTTTGCATAATTTTTTGTAAAAAATTAAATAGTCACTTTAAATATACTAATTTTTTTACCTCATATTTTAGTCAAGAAAATTACTAAAATAATATATTCTCAAATAAGGCATAAGAGTCCGTTTGGGAATCACTTGGTTAAAATAGTAATATAAGATAAAATAGTTTATTTTAATCAAATAAGATAAAATATTGAGAAATTTTATTTTCACATTTTACATTGTCTCTGTGTACAGACTTAGTGGGTGTTTGGGAAGTGGGTTTTTATGTATGTTTTTTTAATTGTAAAATATTATTGGATAAAAAAATTTTGGTATTTGGGAAGATAGTTGGGTTTTTTTATGGTTGGATATGATGTTTGTCAAAAAAAAGTGAAATGATTATGGAGTTAGATGTGATATTTTGTTTGGATTTTTTTTTTTTTGGTTTTACAAAAACTTTGTCTTTTAGTAGAAAAAATCAAAAAAAAAACCCAAAACCAAATCTTGCCAAACACCGCCTTAATGAACTTTATTTTTATTATAGCAAATTATACTAACGGTTCTTATAATTTGAGACTTATATCACTTTGGTCCCTGACTTTTTAATAATGACACATTTGACCCTAAATTTTGAATCTTGTTCCAAATAAGGATAATTAAATATATCATTGCTTAATTTCAAGGACAAAATAGTCAATTTAATAAAATATAAACTAATTTAATAAAAATAAATGTCAAAAAAATATTTTTTAACTTTTAAAAATTATTTTTACCTGCTAAAGATAAAATTATATAAAATTGATAAATCTTTTAGACATTTTTTTTTATCAAATTAATTTTTATGTGTTTTGATGATGATCACGTAATGAGTTTTTTTTTTTATTAAATTAATTTATATTTTTCTAAAAGTCAAATGTGGTGACAATTTTAATATCATTATAAATCAATCCATTAAATTAAAAAATTCAAAACTAAAAACATTTTATATATTAAATATATTGATTACACATTAAAATCTTGACAATCACTCATTACATGATCATCATCAAAACACATAATAAAAATTAATTTGGTAAAATAAATAAATAAATAAATAAATGTCTAGAAGATTTATCAAGTTTACATAATTTTATCTTTGGTGTGTAGATATAATTTTAAAAAATTTAAAAATATTTTGTTGGCGTTTATTTTTGTCAAATTAGTTTATATTTTATCAAATTGACGATTTTACCCTTGAAATTAAGCAATGGTATATTCAATTGTCTTTATTTGCAACAAGATTCAAAATGCAGGGCCAAATGTGTTACAATTGAAAAGTTATGAACCAAAGTGACACAAGCCCCAAACTATAGGGACTGTTAGTGTAATTTGCCCTTTTTAATACAAATTTACCCTTTAATAAAATGATCAAAATAGACATCCATCAACATACTTAGACATTCAAAATAGAGATCTCTGTACACATCTTTTCCTTATAAAAACTCTATGTGCACATCCACTGTTCATTGCCTACGTTACTCACACTCATTCTCACATGCTCTACTATTTTTCACACTCTCCATTGCTACCTTCTTCCTCTACTCTTTTAATAAAACTCGCATTCTTAAAAACATCAATACCATAACTATAGTTTTCCATCGATTGGCCAAGCCAATCATGCGAGTAAAATGGTGCTTGCAAATATTCTGTGACCCCTTCATCAGAGGAACCAGGTTGTTCTGCAACAGAAAGTTGTGATAGTTCTTGAAAAGCATGTGTGATGAACTCATCATTCTCGACATTGCCACATCCCACATCATAATGGTCTTCTTTGAAATATTGATCATGATAATACTCTGCATTGTTTTGTGTTATATTGCCATAATACCCACAATTTGGAAAAGGATCACTGTCAAAAAGCTGGAGACCCCACCAGACAACATCAGGATCTTGCTCATGTGTAATCATTAGCAATGTCTATGAGCTTCCAAGTCAAATTCAGTGTTTGCTCCACACAATACTAGTCAACATACCTTGACAATAATGATCAAAATATTCTCAGTTATTAGAAAAATCACATAACTTGTTCTGGTTAAAGAGCGGCATCACATACAGCTTTCTTCCAAAACAAACATCAAACTGCACCATAATACTTCAAGCAATCTGGAGATTTCATTTAATGTGTATCACGAGTGCAGAAAGGATAGCCAGCATATAAAAAATCCACAGAAAAATTACTTCCTTTGGGGTTTTCACAAAACGAGACACAATTCAACTCCTGCACAAAGTCAATTCATGCTTTCCACATTTAGAAAGTCATAAATCAACAATTAACCAAATGTGGACAATTTTGGGAGAAATTTAAACAGACAAGCAAGTTAAAGAATAGTCAGACTAATTTCATAATTTGCAAATGGAGAAGGATATCCGAACAAAAACAATAAGGTTATAAAGAAAAAGACAACCTGAAAATAACACGGGTTCAACCCTGATTTTCATTTTTAATTGTTGACATGAAATTTCAGTGATATTACGCAAATAAAACATTTATAATTTAATTATGCATCATGGAAACTTACAGATATGCATGAATACATAACCCCAAAAGAATAAATAAAAACCAGACTGTTGGAAACTGCCAAATAATGGATCTCTCTCTCTCTCTCTCTCTCTCTCTCTCTCTCTCTCTCTCTCGTGCATGTGCACACAAGTACACATTCAAGTTGGACAACAATAGCAATCATGCCCAAGTTTTCCCGCACCTCACAATTTATGAAGGGTGTCACCAGACTCACCACTCATCTTGTCAAAATCTACCACCAATACAATACAACCAGTGAAATGACTTAATTACAATTTCATTGAAACAGTAATGTTTGAAATGTTGCTTTTGTTTCACATGAATCATATTGTATTAACTGTCATGGTTCCATTATCAAACCAATTTAGAAAAATATCTTTGTTTTCAATTGCAGTAGAACACAAAATGCAATAATTTGGTTTCCAGAAATTGATGCATATCTCATGTTATATGTCCACCAAAATGATCAAATGTAAAAAGATTATGATTTAAGAATTTGCCAACATATCTCAGTTAAGCCTCTTAGAATTCAATTCTTAATATTGACCCCAAAAAGCAAACTTGGAGGTTGCGTCAAATACTAACTCTGTCCCCAGCCATTGCATTAATGGCACTTTCAGAGTACCAAATTCGTTAGTTGCCCTTCGGAAACTAATGGCTTCAGATTGGAATTTTTTTCTACTTGAAAGAGAAGATGAAATTATCAAGGTATCTTTTGACACTTCTAGATAAATTCAAATCCTAGGACGCAGTCTAAAATATGGATTCAGACTAAGGTTAGGGCCCGCTCTAGCAAGCATACCAGATTTGCTTGTCAGATATAATAGGCCCGGGCAACCTAAGTCTAAGTTGAAGCATGGTTATTACAGCCTAGAGGTCGACTAGACTATACAAGTCTTGACAAATTTTAAGATTTTCTTCGGTAGGAAACTATAAATAGAAACATTGAGAGCTTATCAAATAAGTATGCGCCAATTCAATATACCTCTCTGACTCTAACAATCATATGTATATTTTAAAAGTGCTCAAGAAAAAAGGAACCTCAAAATTTGTAATTACTAGTAGACTATTCCAGTATTGGGTGATCAATTCACTCATGCAATCAATCATAAAATTGAGCTATACGACTATATTCACCCTTTAGAAGTGTAAATTAATTGCATCTCCCCCATTTCGAGGATTCTCGATATATCCTTCCAATCAACACATTCATTTCTAAAGTGCCAGGAGGTTTTATTACTGCTACATTTCTTCAATTCAAGATTGACTAATTATTAGCTTTCATGTTGAATTTTAATTCTCCCATCTTCCAATCAAATTACGATTCATACTGTTTTATCACATTTCTCTCTCCACATTTGATCCTAAATAATTGAGGGAATCACACATCTTTTTATTTCAAAATGTTAGGGTCTGATTGATATCCTTTTCGTTTTAATTTCAAGAAAACACACACACACAATATTAAGGGTGTTTGGCAATAGGCTTTTTTGGCTTTTTGAATTAAAATAGCACTAAAAGACAAAATAGGCTAAAATAGCCAATAAGACAAAATGTCACATCAAATCCATAATCATTTAACTTTTTCTCTCACAAACATCACATCCAACTACAAAAAAAACCCAATCCTCTTCCCAAACACAACTATTTTAGCCTACTAAAATAGCTAAAAACTAAAATAGCCTACTAAAATAGCCAACTTCCCAAACACCACCAATAAAAAATAAAAAAATTACTTTGTTTAGCATATTGATTCTAAAAACTTATTTGGGAAAATTTTCTATAAACAAACCAGTTTTTAAGAAGCATCGAAAAATTTTCAAATTTTCAAAACTTTTTTCTCACAAAAATGAAAATGATGTGTTTTCCAACTTCTCATTGATTTTGTTTGTGAAAACACAAAAAACGTAAACATCAAACAAAAAGGAAGAAAACAAAAACGATACCAAACAAGCTTCCCATATCCAATTTGATGTCCTTAGGTGGCTCCATTCTGCCAATGGGTAATATTTATCAAATAAAAGAAAGAGCCAAGTAAATGTAACTAGATAATTTATTTTAGTATGATATGGTATTAAAAATTGCTAGAAGCATACATGGACCCAAAATTATCTATAAATCTCAATTTTGCTAACCTACTTCCTTAGAATTATATTATAACTCTCTCTCCCTCTCGCCACACGCACGAAAAATAGCAATAGTCAAACCTGAACTTTACCTTCATTTCAAATGCAACGCCTACTTTGCAATATAGTGCTACAGTTGTTTTAGCTACAATATTAACTCCAACAACAATATGTTGGAGTTATTTGTGATTGTGAACCAAAATAATACACTAGGTTTTACTACAATCCATGTTTTATGCAGACCAGTCTAATTGATAGCACAATAAAAACATTCAATGTGTAATTCATAGCAAAGTAGCACTCAACTTTTCTATAACATGTATATATTTCTTTATTAGCTAATTAGCTAATACAAAGACTTATGTTTACCTCTTTTATTGCACGTAAGATAAGCAACATTAATGCTTTTATGAAGAGTAATTACCATGATTCCCCTAAACTATTACCTGTTTGTTACTTTTGGTCCTTGAAGTTTAGATTATCTAAATTTGGTTCCCTAAATTATTTGATTTTCCAAATGTAGTCCAATTGATAACAAACATCCAATTAGCTTACTAAAAACGTCATGTGCTACAACCCACTAACTAAGGGCCCTTCCATGGAATTATAAAAAATATATAATAAAATTACACTTTTACATTTCTTGAGCACCCATCTTAACCGATTCAACTTATGACATTTCATGACTTCCTCCGTATGCCCCCATCATCACGCTAACCACCACCGCATGCCATGGAATTATAAAAATATATATAACAAAATTACATTTTTACATTTCTTCAGTGCCCTTCTTAACCAATTCAACTCACTCCAATTCATCACTTCCTCCGTATGCCCCCATCATCCCGTTGACCACCACCACCTAGATCCCTGCCATTTTTCATTAGCTATTTACATGTTCGTAACCAATTGAATCACCTTTAAAAAAATCAAAAATCAAAAATCAAATAGTCTATTGACCAAATTTAAAAAATCTAAATTCTAAGGACCAAAGTTAGAAACATATAATACTTGAAGGGGAGAAAAGTGTAATTTACCTTTTATTAAAATCATGACTTTCAATCTGAAATATAAAAATTAATCAATAATTTATTAGATATACTGAGTGACTTCTCTTTGAACTATATAGTTACTTTGTGTAGTTGGTTGGAGAAAGGAGTGGATCCGGGTTTATTTGTTTTCTTAGAATTTTTGGGATAATGTTATTGGTTAGGAGGTTTTAGCTTCCCATTTTTAGGCGTTTTGTATTCCTTGTATCAACTTGATGCTTTTTCGATAAAATATTTTATTTATCAAAAAAAAAATTATAGCATGGTTGAAAATCTTGATATAGAAAGCACTTAGGCCTTGTTTGGTTTGTGTTTCTCAAAAAATTTTAGGAAAAATTCTCTACAAATAAGTTTTCAAAAGTAATCAAACCAAACAAATTTTGCTATCCTACTCTGTCAAAGGCAATATGTTTAATTAAATTAAATAAATTTACATTTGTAACTGCTGCATCTCATGTCAATTTAGGTCTTCTCCTCCATCTAACACTTTCATTTGTGATGATTATATCACTCTCCCTTACCGTTGCATCTATAGGTCTTCATTAAACATGACCAAACCATCTTACCCCTTCCCTCAACTTATCTTCAATTTGTGCTACTCTACCCATTTCATAAAAATATTCATTATTAATTCTCTCTTTCCTAATCTTACCACGCATCTAACTACACTCATTTTACGAATATGTTGAGGTGCTAACTTTCAGTATCAACAACAGCACAAGCATATGGAAAATAAGGGAGACCTTCAAAAGGTCATCAAACCAAAACAATATGATTATTGAAAATTAATACACGCATCAAACATTCCATAACAATGGCACTGCACATATGCCACACTTACAGGAATGGGAACCATCTCATTCAACCTTTTGCCCACTTCACCATCAAAAGCATGCTCATCCATGAGCTCTAGTGAATATGACCATTCTTCCCCACAGTTTGACTTTCCACCGGGGCTAGAACATGAACTAGAAGGTCCTGTATCATCTGTCTCTTCATGACCATTATGATGTCCTACAAGCAATGGTATAAATAAGCAGAATTCATTAAAGAAAAAAAAAAAAAATCAAATACCAAATCAATCAAGTAATAAAACTCGCATTCTTAAAAACATCAATACCATAACTATAGTTTTCCATCGATTGGCCAAGCCAATCATGCGAGTAAAATGGTGCTTGCAAATATTCTGTGACCCCTTCATCAGAGGAACCAGGTGGTTCTGCAACAGAAAGTTGTGATAGTTCTTGAAAAGCATGTGTGATGAACTCATCATTCTCGACATTGCCACATCCCACATCATAATGGTCTTCTTTGAAATATTGATCATGATAATACTCTGCATTGTTTTGTGTTATATTGCCATAATACCCACAATTTGGAAAAGGATCACTGTCAAAAAGCTGGAGACCCCACCAGACAACATCAGGATCTTGCTCATGTGTAATCATTAGCAATGTCTATGAGCTTCCAAGTCAAATTCAGTGTTTGCTCCACACAATACTAGTCAACATACCTTGACAATAATGATCAAAATATTCTCAGTTATTAGAAAAATCACATAACTTGTTCTGGTTAAAGAGCGGCATCACATACAGCTTTCTTCCAAAACAAACATCAAACTGCACCATAATACTTCAAGCAATCTGGAGATTTCATTTAATGTGTATCACGAGTGCAGAAAGGATAGCCAGCATATAAAAAATCCACAGAAAAATTACTTCCTTTGGGGTTTTCACAAAACGAGACACAATTCAACTCCTGCACAAAGTCAATTCATGCTTTCCACATTTAGAAAGTCATAAATCAACAATTAACCAAATGTGGACAATTTTGGGAGAAATTTAAACAGACAAGCAAGTTAAAGAATAGTCAGACTAATTTCATAATTTGCAAATGGAGAAGGATATCCGAACAAAAACAATAAGGTTATAAAGAAAAAGACAACCTGAAAATAACACGGGTTCAACCCTGATTTTCATTTTTAATTGTTGACATGAAATTTCAGTGATATTACGCAAATAAAACATTTATAATTTAATTATGCATCATGGAAACTTACAGATATGCATGAATACATAACCCCAAAAGAATAAATAAAAACCAGACTGTTGGAAACTGCCAAATAATGGATCTCTCTCTCTCTCTCTCTCTCTCTCGTGCATGTGCACACAAGTACACATTCAAGTTGGACAACAATAGCAATCATGCCCAAGTTTTCCCGCACCTCACAATTTATGAAGGGTGTCACCAGACTCACCACTCATCTTGTCAAAATCTACCACCAATACAATACAACCAGTGAAATGACTTAATTACAATTTCATTGAAACAGTAATGTTTGAAATGTTGCTTTTGTTTCACATGAATCATATTGTATTAACTGTCATGGTTCCATTATCAAACCAATTTAGAAAAATATCTTTGTTTTCAATTGCAGTAGAACACAAAATGCAATAATTTGGTTTCCAGAAATTGATGCATATCTCATGTTATATGTCCACCAAAATGATCAAATGTAAAAAGATTATGATTTAAGAATTTGCCAACATATCTCAGTTAAGCCTCTTAGAATTCAATTCTTAATATTGACCCCAAAAAGCAAACTTGGAGGTTGCGTCAAATACCAACTCTGTCCCCAGCCATTGCATTAATGGCACTTTCAGAGTACCAAATTCGTTAGTTGCCCTTCGGAAACTAATGGCTTCAGATTGGAATTTTTTTCTACTTGAAAGAGAAGATGAAATTATCAAGGTATCTTTTGACACTTCTAGATAAATTCAAATCCTAGGACGCGGTCTAAAATATGGATTCAGGACTAAGGTTAGGGCCCGCTCTAGCAAGCATACCAGATTTGCTTGTCAGATATAATAGGCCCGGGCAACCTAAGTCTAAGTTGAAGCATGGTTATTACAGCCTAGAGGTCGACTAGACTATACAAGTCTTGACAAATTTTAAGATTTTCTTCGGTAGGAAACTATAAATAGAAACATTGAGAGCTTATCAAATAAGTATGCGCCAATTCAATATACCTCTCTGACTCTAACAATCATATGTATATTTTAAAAGTGCTCAAGAAAAAAGGAACCTCAAAATTTGTAATTACTAGTAGACTATTCCAGTATTGGGTGATCAATTCACTCATGCAATCAATCATAAAATTGAGCTATACGACTATATTCACCCTTTAGAAGTGTAAATTAATTGCATCTCCCCCATTTCGAGGATTCTCGATATATCCTTCCAATCAACACATTCATTTCTAAAGTGCCAGGAGGTTTTATTACTGCTACATTTCTTCAATTCAAGATTGACTAATTATTAGCTTTCATGTTGAATTTTAATTCTCCCATCTTCCAATCAAATTACGATTCATACTGTTTTATCACATTTCTCTCTCCACATTTGATCCTAAATAATTGAGGGAATCACACATCTTTTTATTTCAAAATGTTAGGGTCTGATTGATATCCTTTTCGTTTTAATTTCAAGAAAACACACACACACAATATTAAGGGTGTTTGGCAATAGGCTTTTTTGGCTTTTTGAACCAAAATAGCACTAAAAGACAAAATAGGCTAAAATAGCCAATAAGACAAAATGTCACATCAAATCCATAATCATTTAACTTTTTCTCTCACAAACATCACATCCAACTACAAAAAAAATCCAATCCTCTTCCCAAACACAACTATTTTAGCCTACTAAAATAGCTAAAAACTAAAATAGCCTACTAAAATAGCCAACTTCCCAAACACCACCAATAAAAAATAAAAAAATTACTTTGTTTAGCATATTGATTCTAAAAACTTATTTGGGAAAATTTTCTATAAACAAACCACCTTATTCCTTCTTTCTTTTTCACGTACTTCGTTGCCTACCTTTTTCCTCCATTATTTCTCACACACTAGACTTCATTGCTAACATTCTTCCAATGTTCACTCATTAGGCTACCCTCGCTTGTCAAACAAAACTTGATGGAATATTTGCCAGACAATTTAGAAAACCAAAGGATATGTAAAACAACCAATGCAGCAATGGAAAGGTAACTTTTTTTACTAAGAAATTGTTTTACATAATTTCTGTTCGCAATCACCATTCGGCAAACCAGTGTCGAATACATAAACAGTATTCGGAAAACAACAATTGAATATGAGTAATAGTTTCAGAAGTACAGTACCGAATTAAAACTCAAAAATTAGAAGTACAGCATCGAATGGTCTAAAGCAATTCGATTGTTGGTTTCCGAATGGGTTAAAATGATTTGGCAAACTAGTACCGAATGGTTGTTTTTCGTCTCAGTGTGTGCTAACTTCGAACGACTATCAAAAATGGAAAAAAATAACCTAAATTGCATGTTATTTTATATAATGATGGACAATATTCACTCACCTTATAAGTAATTTACTGTCGCAAAATGGCTGCCGAAGATACCTATTGATCTTCTTCAATGTTGGTTTTCAACATAGAAGGCTAAAGGCTACAGGCTATCGGAGAATGCCTATCGGAGATGGAGAGGCTAGACGATGATAGAGAGGCTGGATCGTGTACGGTGGAGCGTGTGATGTGCAAGTTGAAGAGAAGGCTATTTTGGGAATTTGTGTGGGCTAATATGAGGGTGTGCACACATTTTTTATTAAATGGGTATATTGAGAAATTCTATTTCCACACACATAGTTATCTCACTCAACACACTTAATGAAATATTATTTTAATGACAATTATATCATAAATTAAAAATGAGCATAATAGATATCTACCTACATCCATAATATTATATCAAAATATTATCGATACACATCTTTTAAAAACAAAAAAATCTCAATGTACATCTTTTGAGTAAAAAAAAAAGAAAAGTAAACCTTAGTTTCTTCAATATTTGTTATTTATTCCACTATTTCTCACTTTACTTGTTACACACTCTATACTCCTATATTGCTCGCAAAGCAACACTCACAAACCAATGGAAGTTCAAAATCAAGTAAAAATATGCCTGGTAATAGCAAAAACAGTAATGAAAAAGTTGGTCTTTTCGTGCAGAAGTTTTTTTTTCGCGATTAATTCAAAAACCCAGTGTCAAAATATTATATTTTATTCAGAACTACAATGTTGAACAAATCAATATATTTCAGAAACCAAGTGTCGAATTAAAAAATGAATTTTGGAAAACTGGTGTTGAATTCCCAAAATCCCCAGTCTTCAAGGAAAAAACGAGGGTTTATTCTAATTTGTCAATGCACTCGACAGAGAAAAAATTAAATGGTACCAAATGCAATAACAAAATCGGAACAAAATACTAGTTAACTCCAATAGATTTTGGAACTAGAGTGTCGAATGGATGAGGAGGGACTTCAATGGAGTTAGTATCAATGGAGGTTCTTCGATGGAGCTTCATTCATTGTCTTCATTGTGAACCGAAATAAGGCAAATTGTTACTCTTCAACTCTGAATAGGTGTGTGAAAAAATGGTTAAGGTGGTGTGTGTATGAGTTAAGGATATGATTGGAATAATTGGTGTGTGGAATGATAACAAAAAATAATAATCAAATTACCAAGTGTGTGCACTGAAAAGATGTGTACTGAGGTAACTAGGTGTGTAGAAATAGAATTTTCCTGGTATATTTGGAATGTGAGGTGTGTGGACTGAGATAAATATATATAAATCAAATTACTAAGTATGTGGAGTGAGAAATGATGTACATAGAGACAATTAGGGGTGTTTGTTTTTTGAGTTTTTTTTTTTTTAAATAGCACTAAAAGGCAAAATAAACTAAAATAGCCAATAAAACAAAATGTCACATCAAATCTATAATCATTTTACTTTTTTTTCATAAATATCACATCCAACTACAAAAAATCCAACTATCTTTCAAAACACAAAAATTTTAGCCTTCTAAAATAGCAAAAAACTATAATAGCCTACTAATATAGTAACTTCCAAAACACCCACAATGTGGTGTGTGGAAATAAAATTTTTCCAAAATGTCACATTCAACCCATAATCATTTTATTTTTTCTCTCAAAAAAGTCAAAAAACATATCTTAAACGAGATTTTTTAACCCAGGCTAAAATAACTAAAAAGTTAAAAGCCAACTCACATTTCAAACGAAAGCTAATTAAAATAATTAAAAAGTTAATTATAAAAAGTCAATTCATTATTTTTTATTTTTTGATTTTTTATATAAAAAATCAATAATTCATTAAAATGTCTATTTTTAAATGGCCTTTCGCTCTGTTTGATTTTGAATTTTGAATTTATATAATTTTATTTTAACAATTATTTTAATGTTATAATCTAAAATTTTGTTTTTTAATGTAACTAATTTATATATAATTAAAAGTTAAAATATTTGTGAATAAATTTGTTTAAAAAAAAAATAACACAATAAAAATATAAAAATGTGTTAAATTTACCCTTTAAATTATGATCAACGTTAAGGACATAAAAAAAAATATTACTAAAAATTTGACCAAACACTCACATTGAAGGTTGTTTTAAAAATTAGTTATTTTTTAACTTTTTATGAAAAGACATGAAAAAATAAAAAGAATAGTTGGCTATTTGATGATGACTTTTTAACTATTTTAATAGGTTGTTAAACTTGTCCTAAATTATGACCAACATGGATAATGAGACCTCCCCCAGTGTGTGACCCACACCAATGTGTGACCCACACTTACGTAAGTATTTACCCTTTCCATTTCCAAATAGTAGCTTATCATCCGTGTGTCCGTGTTATACACCGGATAATTATAAATATTTATATTTATTTTAAATTTTTTTTAATAT